ACCATGGCCTCATTTCCCTACTCCATTGTTTACGGGGCTTTGCATCCAGTCCTGCTTGGGCTGCAGAACCTCATTCCACGGTATAAGCCCATTTTACAGGCGGAAAGAACGAGGCTGACGTACAGTGACCCTCTTAGTTCTTGGACTGAAAGATTTGTTCAATCTCTTGACTTCTCAGTCTTAAAAGCCAATAAAGCAATTCCTTAAGGTAGTTTTAAGTGGAGTTCTTGTTCATTTTAACCAGGGAAATTCTAATTGATCAAATGGGAAAGCCCTATTCCAGTGTAGATCTGAGAATGCCTGCCCACTGTGGCAGAGGTGGTAGGCACTAATCCCCGGGCCATCCTCTTTCCCAGCTCAGAACACGTTAAGAGAAGCTGAGACCCAGGTGCCTTTTGCTAGCATGCCCAGGCTGGGAGCTGTGAGAGGCAGTTAGGGCCATGGAGCAGGTAGTAAGTTCTTTTATACAATATTTACCAGGTACCTTGTGGTAAGGCTTGAGTCTAGAGCAGTAAACAGGCCAGGCATAGCCCCCTGGAGCTCACAGGCTAAGTGTTTACCAACCACTTTTATATTGTACACCTCTTTCATTAACTTGCTGTTTGACTTTGGGCAAAATATTTAACCGCTCCGAGTTTCAGTCTTATAATTCATAAGATATAGCCTGAGCTTGAGTAATGGCTTCTGAGATAATGTGGAGCCTGGCTCAATAAATAGTCACTACTCTTGCAACTCCCAGAGAGAAGGCACCATGCCTGTGCTCCCCTCTTGAGGTTCACAATTTCAGCCATACCCCAAAAGGGGAGGAAGTTCAGTAGCTGTGTAAGAGCTGAAGAAGGATCTAAGGCTAGAATTCAAAAGATTTCCCAGACCACAGTTGGCCAAGAAGTTGCGCAGGAGAGGGGCCTGAGCTGGGAGTGACATTGCAGTGTGTTGGGTGGGGGTGGGGGGTCAAGGAGGAAGGCTGCTTGGCCAGTTGGTGATGTGGTGGTCAAGGTGGTCAGATCCCACGTGGCCAACTATGCAATTCGAGTCTTGGACCTGGAGGCCTGAAAATCATGCCAGGCACATGTACGTGCATGCCCAAGATCCTGACTGGAGAATAGAAGAGAAGGGATTGCAGCATGGCCATCTCCTCTGGGGAGTGATTTCTCACTTTCTCTTTCTCTCTCTGTCTCCTGCAAGCACTCATACCCTAAAGCGAAGATAAAAAAAATCAAAACAAAACAAAAAAAAGAGGAGGGAGGCTGCTTGGGGAGATGCCATGGGATAACGTTCAGAAGGGAATGGAAAGGGAACTGACTGCAGTGAGGGCTGGAGAGAGCTGTGGGCCAGGGAGGTGAGGACAGTCCTGTTCTGTGGCTCCACAGGGTGAAGACCCGACAGTATGACAGTGCCGTAAGAGGGCATGGCTCTGGTTCAGGTGAGTAGGGATGAAACCTGAGCCAGGGTTGCCCTTTGAGGAGGGTTTGGAATGGAAAAGATGGGAATGAGAAAGATCCAGAAGGCACACTGTCCAGGACATGGAGACTCAGATTTACTAGACATAGTGGCAAGGGAGACAAGTCTCCCAAGATGCAGGGAGAACAGGGGTGTCCCTCCCCAGTACAGGACAGACAGGGCCTAAGATAGGTTTTTATCTGAAGATCACAGGGCAGGGATGTTACTAGTTCCCTTTGAGACGATCTGAGGTTGGAAGTGCCAGAAGGCCATCTGGTAGAAATACAGGCAGGTGCCTACGGATCCAGGATGAAGTTCTGTGGCAGGGGCAGGACTGGACACAACTTCCCCATAAACAAGCGGCTCAAGGGCACACTGTCTGTGAGAACTGAAGGAAGAAAGGTGCCGTGGGATTTGGAATGCCTGGCCTAAAGTGGAGGGGCTCTGCCTGAGGACAGGAGAGGAGCAGTGACCTCCCATCTGAAGGAAAGAACTAGGGCCTGAGAGGACAGCCCAGCAGGACAGTGGCTTCTGCTCCGAGGCTGGATCTGCCACTGTAGAGAGGAATAGCTAAAGGGGTCTCGTTGTGAGGTCCTGACTGTGATCCTAAGGGCGAGAGGATGACCTGTGGGGTGGGTCTGCATGTCCTAACAGAGCTGCCTCTGGGCCCCAGGGTGGGACACTTGGGGGGCGGGGGCGCCGGGGAGATGGCTGCCTGCACTCGGTGGCCAGCGACAGGCAGCAGGCAGTCAGCTCACATGGTCCCGGCCTGCCTCTCCCCCAGCCTGCTCCTGGCAGCCCAGCCTCCCATAATTGCCTTCTAAAAATATCCCTCCCTCCACCCCCCACCTCTTGATTTCAAAATATTTAGTTTTCAGGGTATTTAAAATGAGAGCTGGCTGCTCTTCCAGGCCCAGATAGCAAAGCTAAACATTTATGCTTCGACTGCATTTCTCTGAATCGGCTGAGATCTCGGGCTTGATATGGCAGCAGCAGGAGGGAGGGGAGTCAGTGCCAGATGGATCACATGGGGACCTCTCGAGGGCTGGGGGCAACAGCCACCTTGCCAAGCCTTCTGGGACCCTTCCCTTCACTGGGGGGGCCACCTACCGCTGTTGACGTGGAGCCGGCCGCGGACGCTGTCCTTCCCCAGGATGTTCTCGGCCTCGCAGACATACTCCCCGGCGTCCTCCACCTTCACCTTGTTGAACTGCAGTCGTGAGTTCTTTCTGGTTAGGGAGGGGATATAAGGAGGAGAGGCGTGAGAGGGGTTGCCCAGCGGTCGCCGCTCCACAGAGCCACGATGGCTGTGCAGGTTGGACGGGAAGGAGGCTCCCTCAGACCAGCCACTTCCAGAGTCAGGTGGAACACGGAGTCCCCAGAATGGGAGGGAGACCTGGACCCTGGGGACGGCAGCTGGTGGCTGCACAAAGTGTCTTAAATCTCTGAAGCCTCACATCCACTTTTCTAGGGAGGAAAGCCAGGCCCCTCAGAGGTCACATGGCGACCTCTCTTATTCTCAGCTGTCCTGGCCTTCCCTTGGAAGTGGCAGCCTGTCACTCTAGATATGCAAGGTCCATTCCCAGGGACAGGGAGAGCATGGTACTTTTGAGTTCCCATGGCAACCATGCCCATACTCCCAATGTAAGCCTGTGGCTCTCCCTATCTTGAAACTAGCCCTGCCACTAAGGGGCACTCTGTGGCTTCTCCAAGGGACTTTTGTTTCATTCATTCAACAAATGTTTACTGAGCACCTTCTATGTGCCAGGAGCTCACATATCACAGAAAACAAAAAGAACCTGGACTTGATCCTCATAGCCAGTCTGGGAGAAGACAGGGCAGTACCTTCATCCACTTCTCACAGATGGGAAAATAAGTCCTAGAGGGGCTTCCTGACTTGCCCATGGGCACCCAGTGAGGCAAAGGCAGGGGCGGAGCTATAGTAGAGCTACATCTGGGAGCCTGGAGCTTGTGCCTGCTCCCCCGCGCGGCCTTCGCGCCCGGCTCTTGCTTGCTGAGAGTCGTGGGGCCAGGGCTGGGCAAGGTCCCCAGTGCCGTGACTCCTAAGCACCTGACCCTGATTTCTCTCTTCTTTTTGAAGTTTTTTTTCTCTTAGAGTGTCCCTGCAGCTACCAGAGGGGCCTCGGCTCTACAGGGGTCTGTTAACAGCTCCCACTCTCTGACCCTCAGCCTGGCCCCCAGGGGAAGCAGGAAGCAGAATGAGCATTTCTTTTTGCGATGTGAACTCCTCCTCTTTTTCAGTTCCAAACTAAAACCCCAGATTCCCAGACTATGTGCAGTGGGTCAGAGGGTTGGAGAAGCATGAGGCAGGGTAGGAGAGCTGTCATTGCCCCGAGCCCAGGAATGTACAACTGAGCCATGAAACGAATGGGGAAAAAGGACAGGGGCAGGGGAGCAGGAAGGCTGTGTGGGGGCTGAGAAGGCACAAACTAGCCCACAGTGCCTACCTGAGCCTGTGCTCTGGGACCTCTTCCTTGGACTCTGCCTCCACTTCATCCCAGATCGCCTCACCCCACGATCCCTTAAAACCAGGTCCTGCAAGGATGTCTTGTCAACAGACCCTATTACTGTGGTGATGTCTTTGCTGATGACAGCTGCTTGACTATACCATACCCTTCCTGGCTCAAGCTGGTCTCTGTCTCCTTGGCCTGGTGCCTGCCCACAACCCTCTTCTGTCAATTAAATTTTGCTTCCTTCATTAAACAGAGCCCTGGAGGCCCCTCTGACTAAGACAGCATCTCTGTCTCTGCTCCAGCCTAATTAGAAGCCATGAAGCCCAGATTTCCTGGACAAGGCTTCTCTCAGTTCCCTGTACTCTGGAACAGCAGGGCAGGAGAACCCCTGAGGGTCACAGGTCAATGCACAGGGGACCAAGGGCCAGATCTTCCTTGTTACTTATTGCTGAATTCCAAGGTGCTTCCTTACTCCACCATATATGGAGCAGGACAAGGCGGAGCAAGGCCCCCAGGATAATGGAAGGAGCAGAGCTGGAGCTTTAAGGACGGGCTCCCCACGGCAAGGTGTGTGAGATCTGTGCAAAGGAGGCACAGGGCTCCAGGAGAGCCCTTCCTCTCTGAGGGGACAGAAACAGCGACCCTTAGCTTTGCTGGCTGCAGGTGCCTTAGTTCACTAGTGGTCTGATGAACTCAGGGAGGTGGACTCTGAGATGCACAGGAGCTCTGGGCAGAGCCAATGGCTGAGGCTCTGTGGGGCTCTGGGGCCCTGAGGGCACTGGGGGCCAGGACATCTGTCCTCACTCCCAGCTGGAAGCCTAGGCGTACAGGACTCTCGGCCTCATGGCAGGCTAGATGCTGAGCTCCTAGTGCCCCATCATTGTGATGGCCACCCCCTCCTCCTTCCCTAGCTGGTTCTCAGCTGGCAGGGACAAGATCTGGGCGGCCACGCATTTTCCTTAGCGCCTACCTCCTCCTGCCTGCCCCAGGGGCCTGTTCCAGCCTGCCCCTCATAAATAAGGGAACATGCGGTTCTGCAGGAGAGGGCCCTGTGCCCAGGGCTTGGGGTGCCGTTTTCTCCTGGCTCATAAAGGCTAGAGTGAGATGGCCCAGTACAGCAGACAGAAACAGCACTGCTAGGGAGGGGTATCTGCAGTGAAGGGAGCTGCCAAGACAGAGCAACAAGGGCCAGGGAGTCAACTGCAGTGTGGGCAGGGAGGACCGAGAAGATTCTGCTTGGAAGGGGACTCCTGACCCTGCCCTGGCCCCAGGTGTAGTGGGAGAGTGTGTGTGTGTGTGTGTGTGTGTGTGTGTGTAGGTGGCAGCTCTTTCTGAGTCACTCCAAGGGGACCTTAGTCCCAGTTCTCTATCATGGCCCACTCTTCTACCACTAACAACTCACTGGTGGGTCTGGGTCCAAGGACAGGAAATTTAACATCAGCTCTCAGAGTCCACCATACCAGACCTGACAAGATCCTATTTCTGGACTGGGTAACCCATTTGTCAGATGAAACTGAGCATTAGCCAAGGTGGTAACTTGCTCAGAAGGCTGGACAATCCAAAGGACTTCTGGCCAACCGTGGTGGGACCCTGCACCCGATAGAAGAGGGCTAGTTTTGCAAGACTCTCATTGATTCAACACTGAACAACTCTGCTAGCCCTAACAGGGAGAAGGGTGTGTGTGGGTGGGTGGGGGGACCCAGCCTTTTGGCTCTTATGCTGAAAGAGAGGCAGGGCCCTCAATAATGCAATGAAGCCTTATCTAAGGCATCATGGGAGGAGATAGCAAGAGCTGCTTAGAGGGTTTAGGAAGGTGTCCTAGCAACTGGACATTTAAATTGGGCCTTGAAGGACTCTGTCAGGGACAAGAAGGGGATGGAGCTGCCAGCATAGGAGCAGCTTGGATGCAAGTGTAAGGTCATGAAAGGAAAGACCAAGGGTCAGGAGTGTAGCAATGGGGGAACAGTGGGCAGTGCCTCGTTGTCCAGGAAGAGGAGAGTCGGAAGGACCCAGGGCCTGGGCTGTCCCTGGTATACCATAGGCACTCAAGATTAATGAATGAATGATCATATATGTGTCCACATTAGAACCCATCAAGCATTCACAGGGTTAGTGACTCTGGATTGCTCCATTGCAAGCAAAACTGAGTGTTTATGGCACATGTTTTCCTGGAGAAAGGTTCAAGGCTTTTTTGTTTGTTTGTTAAGGTGCATGTGCTCGCCAGAGGGAGACAGAGAAAGGAAGTGAGAAATCACCCCACCCTGGGGTTGGGGGCGGGGGGGGGAGGGAAATCATGCAACCGGCCATGTGGGATCCTGTGCCTTAACCTCCATGCCACCTGCTGGCCTCAGGTGTAAGGCTTTTTTTTTTTTTTAGAGGCTTTTGCTATAGGACACATGCGCTCACCAGGAAGACAGAGAGACAGAAAGCAAGAAATCACCCCCCCAAGGGGGATGGCCATGCGGCAATCCCTTCTCCTCCATTCTCCTCTCAGGATCTTGGGCACACACGCACACGGGCCCAACGTGAGTTTAAGCCACCCGGTCTGGGACTCGAACCACGGTTGACTACATGGGAGTCCAGCTACATAGCCATTACACTAACTGCTGGTCTCCCAGGTATAAGGCTTTTACCAGCTTCTCTATTGGAAGCTAGACTAGAAATCTGTGAAGGTAGGGCCGTGTCTGTTGTGCTGACTGTTGAGTCCGGAGCCTCTAGCAGAGTGCCTGGCATACAGCTAATACTCTATATATACATGTTAGATACAGAAATGAATTCACAAAGGAGCCCATGGCCCAGAAAAGGTGGGAAGTGGCCAAGAGAGGGGCAGTGACAGAAAACAGGTAAGCAGCTGGGAGCTCAGATAAGACATGTGCAGGGCAGGGGAAGGGTGCTTCCTTCCAGTGCTGTGGTACCCACCTGGGAAGAGAGCAAGGGGGTGGGTACAGAGCTGCAGAGGCTTGTGCCACAGCTGAGAGGAAGAGGCAGGGCAAGTGAGGGTGGCAGAGAAGATGCTAGCTTGGACATTTTGAATGGGAAATGTCTACAGGGGCACTTTGGGGTGGTATTTAGTGCTTAGCTGGCAGCATGAGTCTGGAATTTGAGTAAAAAAAAGTCATTACTAGAGGGGCCGGCAGGTGGTGTGGTGGTTAAGGGCACTGGACTCCCACATGGCCGACTGTGGTTTGAGTCCTGGACCTGGCAGCTTGCTTTTTCACTTTCCCTCTCTCTCTCTCTCTCTCTCTCACTCTGTCCCTTTCTGGTCAAAATTTAAAAATTAAAAAAAATACAGTTAAATAAAAAATAATTCTTAAAAAAAGTCATTACTAGAGAGAGAGAGACTTGGGGGTCTCAGATCTTTGAAGCAACGGGAACACAGGTGGAGTGGGAGGGAGGAGATGAGTGAAGTCTGGAGCAGAGCCAAGTTCCAGCACGGATGGCGACTGGGAGAGAGGTCAGACTCACAGGAGGACTAGGAGGAGCACCACAGGAACTGATGGGGGGACCCAGCCGAGGGCTGCAGAGAGGCCAGGAAGCCTGGGCCAGGAAGCTCAGTGGTCACCAGGCCCTCACTATGGTCACAGCCCTAGAGAGGTTGAGGACATGTTTATTTACTTGATATTAGCCAAAAGGCCAAGAAGAGATTAGGGGGCATAGTGAAAGGTGGATTCCAGCAGGGCAAGTGGGTAGAGGACATGAGATTGTGAAGTGAGTGGGCAGGAAATTGACTCCCTCAGGGACTCCATGTGGTGGTGCGGGCAGAAGCAAAATGAGGCCACAGCAAGGAGGACAAGGACATGGCAGCATGGAAGGAAGCATAGTAGAAGAGCAATGAGACTGGGTTGTTGGTAGGTAGAGAAAGGCAGACGTTACCAGAGAGAAGAGTGACTGGTCTCTGGGCCCCGAGGGGACGCATGTGTATGTGTGCAGGATGTGCAGGAGTGTGGGGTGAGTGTGAGCGTGTGGCATGGGGTGAGGATGAGCAGGTTGTGAACATGCTGGGAGATGAAGGGGGCGAGGAGTGTACTCTCTCCTGACTTTTGCCACCTGTCTCAGGGAAGGAGGAGGTGAGGCCCTCTTCTAGGAGGAAAGGCCAGGAAAGAGATCGGCTCCCAACAGCCCAAGGCCCTAGAAGTCTGTCCGTTCTTCTCTTCAGCTTGGAGCTGGTCTTGGTAGGGTCAGGAGAAGGGCTGTAGTGGCCTCGGGAGATGAGCAGGTGGGCAGCCTGCATTTCTTGCCAATGCTGCAAATTGGGGACACAGTGGACCCCATCCCTACCCTCAACCAACACTAGCCACTGCAATTTCCTTAGGAAGCAGCATGCTTTCGGCCACACACCTTTGATCCAAACCCTTCTAACTTACTTATTTATTTTTAGTTTGCTATAGGGAGCAAATGCTCACCAGAAAGAGAGAAAAAGTGAGAAAACACACCCTGGGGGGGATGGCCACACCACAATCTCTTTTCCTCCACTCTCTTCTCAGGATTTTGGGCACATATGTACATGCATTTGGCATGTCTTTTAAGTTGCTGGGTCTGGGACTTGAACTGTACCATCAGCCATGTGGGATCCAGCCACCTTATTCACCACACCACCTGGCTGGCACATACCCTCCTTTCTAACTTTCTGCTTTCTGCCTATACCACTTTCTGGGTGACCAGCTCTGCTTTTGCTTCCAACTCTTGGAAGGAGAATTAGAGAACTGGAGGCAGCTCCCAAACCCCTGCCACCCACATCCTTTCTCAGGGTCCAGAGGAGAGGGCCTGAAGGCGGGGCATGCACTCTCAGGGCCACCTAGCGAGCCAGGAGCCACCTGAGCCCAACCTTCTTCCCATCACTTCCCATGGTGGGGCAGGTTGGGTGTTCGCTAAAATCATCTTATTTGCCTTTTGTTAGGGGTGAGGAAGAAAATAACAGCCAGGAAAGGAGGGGCTGTAAGCTGCTCTGGACAGGGCAGAACAGGCTGGGAGCTGCTCAGTCAGAGCGGGAGGTTCGCCTGGTGACCAGGGTTCACGGGGCGGGGTTAGGTAGGACGTCTGTGTAGCCTTGCTTGTCCTTTAGATGCAAGAGAGAGTAGGGGATGGGGCACAAGCCTTGGATTTCTGGCTTTTCTGGTGCCTGAAGCCCTCTGCCTGACCAATCCAAGATGCAAAAGAGGTCATCTCCCACAGCCTGGAGACTTGCAGAGCTTCCAATTCACTTTCTGGAGTGCTGATTCAAGAATGAAGAATATACTCATGTCATAGAGCAAACTGTCTGGGGTACAGACTCCCCCAACACTAATCAAAGCTATGCCTGCTTTTCCCCTACTTAGCTCTCTGACAAGTGGGGGCTCACTGAGCTGAGAAACCAGCCCATCATCATGTGTGACCTCCCAGAAGCATTCTGGAGTCCAGGTCTCTCACCAAAGATTACCACATATTAGGGCTAAGACACTGCAGTCGGCTGTTGAAGAAGTTTTAGGGCCAAGCAGGTTCTTCCACTGGTAAAGCTGACCTTGACAATTGAAATGCCTTCAGCCACCTAGAGGCATTAATTGCTCAATTCTTGTCTGCAATCTGCAAGACACTATGCATCCCCTAGGCCAACATAACTAGAGGGGTCCAGAGCTTCAGGGAGAAGGCTGGCAGTGGCAAGGAAGGTGAGTGTGGAGAGGGGCTGGTGGGTCTGGGGCCACAGGTCTGGGCTCTGCCTAGCTCAGATCCCTTCTTCTTGGGAGAAGGGAGGGGAGCTGATTGGATGGAGGGCAGGTGGCCATTACTCACCTGCCATTGCCATACTTGATGCGAATGTCACGGCTGCGGTTGAGCTCCTTGCCGTCCTTGAACCAGCGATAGGAGGGCTGGGGGTTACCAGCTGCTGCCTCACATTTCAGTGATTGCTTCTCACCCACCTGTCCGGTCTGGCTCTTCATCTTCTTCAGCTTGGGCCGGGTAGCTGTGGGTACAAGACAGGTAGGTGAGATTGGTTGTGGTGAGGGAAGCACCTAGCATAGCAGTGGAAGATCAGGTTCACTGTCCTGGGGCTGGCCTGGGGAGGGGAGAGGTAAGTCACTTCTCAGTTCTGTTCAACAAGCATTTGCAGAGTCTGCAATGAATCAATGTAGCAGCTACTTATGGAGAGCTTTCTTTGCGCCTGGAATGGTACTAAGAGCTCTACATTATGAAACCAACATAATAACTCCATGAGTTCACTGCAATGATTAAACCTTTTTTTTGGCTATAGGGCACATGTGCTTGCCAGAGAGACAGAAAGCAAGAAATGATCCCCTGGGGGGGATGGCCACTCTGCAATCCTATCTTCTCCATTTTCCTCTCAGGATTTGGTCATGCATGCACATGTGCCCAGTGTTGAGTTTTAAACTGCTGGGTCTAGAATTTGAACTGTGGCCAACTACATGGGAGTCCAGCGATGTAACCATTAAGCCATCTGTTGGTCCCAATTAAACCCATTTATAGATAAGGAAAATGAGGCTCAGGGTGGTGAAGCCTAAGGGGAAGTGATGGAACTGGGAATCAAACACAGATCTCCTTGACTTAAGTCATTATCTAACTCTCATTCTAAACCCCTAGCCTTGCGCTGAGCCCAGAGGACCCAGACAGATCAAGGGGACACGTGGCTCTGACTCCCAGAAAATTCAGTCTAGAGAAGAGCTGTAACCTAGGAGGGTCATCACAGCATAGTCCTTGGGGGTCTGGGGGTGGGTGGAGCATAGAGGAACAACATTGACCCGGGCTGGTGGGGGGCTAAGAAAACAAGAACTGAAGGCTGGAAGAAGTAGAGGCAGAGGCAGAGATCACATGGCCCAGCAGGGTGAAGGGCAGTGGTCAGGCGGGGTAACAAGGCCTGGGGCTGCATCAGTGGCCCAATCACAGATACGACACTACAAAGGCCAAGCTGAGAGCCTTTGCCCATGTTCTTAAACACCATCCTATTCCTTTCCACATGCCTTATTCTCCCATGCTTTGTTTCCATCACCATCATCAAAAAAAAAAAAAAAAAAAAAAATGCGTCAGGCTGGTGCCGGGCTGGTGTCTGCGTCTGCAGCCTCATCTTTCCTTGTAGAATGGACACCCTGGTTAAACTCCTCCCAACAGGGGAAGGGAGGGTCTACTGGGACCAAAGGCTTGTCTGGAGACTCCCTGGCCCTGTCTAGGCCATTGGACCTTTCCTTGGCAGCTCAAAACTCTGAAAAACAGTCAGAACTGGCTCTGGAGGAAGGCAGACAAGAGGCTACTAAAGATAAGGGTTCGCGGAACTTGACCCTAAGCTGCTGCTTGTAAGTAGGGAGTAGATAGGAGTGGAGGGCAGGAATAGAGGAAGCATAGAAAGAAAGACAAAAGTCTTTCTCTTTCTTTCTTTCTTTCTTTCTTTCTTTCTTTCTTTCTTTCTTTCTTTCTTTCTTTCTTTCTTTCTTTCCTTTCTTTCTTTCTTTCTTTCTTTCTCATTTCAGTGATTGCTTCTCACCCACCTGTCCGGTCTGGCTCTTCATCTTCTTCAGCTTGGGCCGGGTAGCTGTGGGTACAAGACAGGTAGGTGAGATTGGTTGTGGTGAGGGAAGCACCTAGCATAGCAGTGGAAGATCAGGTTCACTGTCCTGGGGCTGGCCTGGGGAGGGGAGAGGTAAGTCACTTCTCAGTTCTGTTCAACAAGCATTTGCAGAGTCTGCAATGAATCAATGTAGCAGCTACTTATGGAGAGCTTTCTTTGCGCCTGGAATGGTACTAAGAGCTCTACATTATGAAACCAACATAATAACTCCATGAGTTCACTGCAATGATTAAACCTTTTTTTTGGCTATAGGGCACATGTGCTTGCCAGAGAGACAGAAAGCAAGAAATGATCCCCTGGGGGGGATGGCCACTCTGCAATCCTATCTTCTCCATTTTCCTCTCAGGATTTGGTCATGCATGCACATGTGCCCAGTGTTGAGTTTTAAACTGCTGGGTCTAGAATTTGAACTGTGGCCAACTACATGGGAGTCCAGCGATGTAACCATTAAGCCATCTGTTGGTCCCAATTAAACCCATTTATAGATAAGGAAAATGAGGCTCAGGGTGGTGAAGCCTAAGGGGAAGTGATGGAACTGGGAATCAAACACAGATCTCCTTGACTTAAGTCATTATCTAACTCTCATTCTAAACCCCTAGCCTTGCGCTGAGCCCAGAGGACCCAGACAGATCAAGGGGACACGTGGCTCTGACTCCCAGAAAATTCAGTCTAGAGAAGAGCTGTAACCTAGGAGGGTCATCACAGCATAGTCCTTGGGGGTCTGGGGGTGGGTGGAGCATAGAGGAACAACATTGACCCGGGCTGGTGGGGGGCTAAGAAAACAAGAACTGAAGGCTGGAAGAAGTAGAGGCAGAGGCAGAGATCACATGGCCCAGCAGGGTGAAGGGCAGTGGTCAGGCGGGGTAACAAGGCCTGGGGCTGCATCAGTGGCCCAATCACAGATACGACACTACAAAGGCCAAGCTGAGAGCCTTTGCCCATGTTCTTAAACACCATCCTATTCCTTTCCACATGCCTTATTCTCCCATGCTTTGTTTCCATCACCATCATCAAAAAAAAAAAAAAAAAAAAAGGAAAAAGTGCTCTGTTTTCAGGAAGGTGAGGACACAATAGTGGTCATTGGTACAACCCTTTACAGTATGTGCAATACCTTCATGCATGTGCTCATTTCATCCCAGAGCTCTGTGAGGCGAGTGTCATGCAGACATTGATGGTGATGATGAGACAAAGACGTTAAGGAACTTGACTGAAGCCACACAGCCACGCAGCCACTGGGCTGGGACCAAAGCACAGGTGTATGGATGTGCAATGCGTCAGGCTGGTGACAGGCTGGTGTCTGCGTCTGCAGCCTCATCTTTCCTTGTAGAATGGACACCCTGGTTAAACTCCTCCCAACAGGGGAAGGGAGGGTCTACTGGGACCAAAGGCTTGTCTGGAGACTCCCTGGCCCTGTCTAGGCCATTGGACCTTTCCTTGGCAGCTCAAAACTCTGAAAAACAGTCAGAACTGGCTCTGGAGGAAGGCAGACAAGAGGCTACTAAAGATAAGGGTTCGCGGAACTTGACCCTAAGCTGCTGCTTGTAAGTAGGGAGTAGATAGGAGTGGAGGGCAGGAATAGAGGAAGCATAGAAAGAAAGACAAAAGTCTTTCTCTTTCTTTCTTTCTTTCTTTCTTTCTTTCTTTCTTTCTTTCTTTCTTTCTTTCTTTCTTTCTTTCCTTTCTTTCTTTCTTTCTTTCTTTCTTTCTTTCTTTCTTTCTTTCTTTCTTTCTTTCTTTCTTTCTTTCTTTCTTTCTTTCTTTCTTTCTCTTCCTTCCTTCCTTTTTAGAGATTTTTATTATAGGTAATTTGTGCTGGCCGGAGAGACAGAGAAACAGAAAGTGAGAAATCACCTTCCAAGGGGGGTTGACCATGCCACAACCCATTCTCCTCCCTGTTGAGATTTTGGGCATGCATGCACATGCACTTGTCATGAGTTTCAAGCTACTGGGTCTGGGATTTGAAACGTTGTCAGCCATGTGGCAGTCCAGCACCTTAACCACTATGCCATCTGCTGGCTCCAGAAGAAATGCTTTAAAACTACATTATGTAGACTTCAACAATGATTCTTGTGAAGTCGTTTTGTTCATTTTAGAAATTAAAAAATACAGACAGGTAAAAAGAAGAAAACAAAATCATCCATTATCCCAGTACTCAGAAATAGACATGCACACATTTTTAAACAAAATGGGATTAGTGCCAGTAATGTTTTGCTTTCTTTCTTTTAAAAAAATATTTATTTAATTTTACTTCTTCTTCTTCAATTTGACCAGAGAGAGATAGAGAGCCAGAGATAGAGAGGGAGCGTGAGAAAGCAAGCCACCAGGTCTAGGACTCAAACTGTGATTGGCCATGTGGGACTCTAGCGCCTTAATCACCATGCCACCTGTTTGTTCCGCCAGTAATGTTTTTCACTTAATGAAGAAAAGTGACACTTTTGTCTTGCTGTTAAATATTAATAATAGCATTTCCCAAACTGAATTCCATAAGACACAATTATCTAGAAAGATGAAAATAGATAGCTCTTGAGAAAAGGGTTCTGTGAGCAAATCTGTTTGGAGAATGTGTGAGCAAACACAGTTAAAGAAGTGTCCATACTGGCAGGATGGTGGTGCAGTGGTAAAACATGATGTTCTACAAGGCTGACCCATAAGGGAGGGCTCTGGGTTTGTGTCCAGAGCCCTCCCTGAGGACACTGGGCATGCCGTGCCCATGATCGGGGTGGCTGAAGCTGGGGTGGACTGCAGAGTAGAGATACTTTGTCTCCATTTCTCTCTCTTGATTATGGAAGAAGTATCTAAATACACTTAAAAAATACATATTTTTTTTATTGATTTCAGTATGTTTCTCTAAATAAGGGCCTTAAACTTTCTTTGGAACTCTTTAGCAGCATTTCAAGGAAATGAAGTTAAGCAGAACCAGTTCTTTAACATAACTTGTATGTGTATATATTTATAGATCTATACATATTTTAATAGATATGTTCACATGATTCAAAATTCAAGAAGTGAAAAAGGTATATGGCTTCAAAAGCAGTTCTTCTTTTAACCTCTGACCACAGTCACACAGTTGCCTTTCCAGAAGGCACCCCATTTGATCAGTTCCTTGTACACCCTTTCAGAGATCTTTTAGGCATATGCAAAAGGCCCCTGCACACTAGTTCCCCCTAATCCGTGGTTTCACTTTCTGCTGTTTCAGTTACCCGTAGTCAACCATTTTGAGAGAGAGAGAGAACAAGTATGTGCATGCATGAGGACTTTCATTACAAAATTTTGTTATAATTGTTCTTTATTACTAGCTATTATTGTTATTACTGTGCCTAATTTATAAATCAAACTTTATCATAGAAATATATGTACAGGGAAAAAAACCTAATATATATATGTTG